CTGTACCAAAATCTGAACCTCTATTGATATTTTGGGTAAATAGCGTTTCAACATTATAAAAATTAACAAATAAAAAGGCTGTAAGTTCGGTCGGGCCGAACTTTGAATACCTTCCACCATTGGGAACGATTTTATCAATTTTCAAAAAATATAATCCGTTAAAAATTCTGTTCAACTCTTCAAAACACCGAATGACGTCGTTATATTAGGGTCCATACGATAAAAAATTGGTGCATAATGTAGCCAAAATCATCGATCATTACAATCATCAAAAATAGCGAATATTTGGAGATGCCGTTATATGGGAGCTATACAAAGATGTGCACTTGCACAGAACAATTTTCTGTCTTAGGATGTAGTATCCTCTACGAACTTCAAATACCAAATTTGAAACAATTCTGGTGAATAATGTCGCTAAAATCATCAAAGTACTGAATATAGGGGGGTACCTTTACATGGAGGTATCTTTATATGGGGGCTATACCAAAACGTGGACCTATATGACCCATTTTTAATACCTAAAGTCAAAATGAAATTTGATCTAGAATAATTCTTACTTCGACGCTTTTCCCAAAAAATTAATTTATACGTGTTAAATTAACATTAGAAAAAAGCATGGACATTATTTTTACTTATAGTATATAAATTTGAACATAATTTTCATAAAAACTATTGCACCTAGATATATGGTTTATTCTGAGATTTATAGTGAAATTTTGTGTAGAATATACCTTCTTTGGACACCTTCCACGTAAAATGAAATTTTATGAAATTTTCAGGCGTGAAATCGAAAAAGTACGGGAAATCGAAAAAGAACTAGAATAAAGTATCTGGGAATATTTTCGGTTTTTTTGTAACATTGATAAAAATATTTTTTTGGGATACAATGAAAATAGAGATTTCTTTTCAATGGTGACTTATAGTAAAATTTGATGCAGAATATTTTTGTCCTTGACGTCATCCTTCTAGAATAATGATTTGTTGGAGATTTTTGCACAAACTCACACAAGGTACGGCCAAGGAAAATTGTTGAAACAATTAAGAAATATATATTTTTTTAAAAAAATATTAATTCCAAAATATTTTGGCATACAATAGAAACAAGAATTTCTTTTCTTTGGTGACTTATAGTAAAATTTGATGCAAAATATTTTTGTCTTTGACGTCATCCTTCTAAAATAAATTTTTTTTTGCAGATTTTTGCACAAACTTATATAAAGGACGACTTTAACCCTAAAATGTGTTTTTTTTTTCAATTTAAATGAATTTCTGGCGTTTATGTAAGATTTAGAAAATTGATGTCTTCTAGCAGCTATAGTCGAATTTTATGACAAATAATTTTGTGGAATATTTTGCCTTGCTACGATCCCGTTTTAAAGAATTATTAACAATATTTTTTACAAAAAGAGCCAAAAAGACCCATTTGTTGGCTCGGTCGAGGGTTAAAATATAAATCGACCAATATATTACTCGTGTTCTTTGTTGGAGGGCAGTTTTTTACGCTCAGACTATAGCTTTGACCCAGCTAAAATTTGCCTCATCGAAATTACTTTTCGAACGCATTGTCTCTATAGACCAAATCACCTTTAGGACCAAATCACTTTTAGGTCTTTTGTAGTCAATCTCTTAAAATGCGAGAATTGTCCTCGATTTTAGTTAAGGAAGATCAAACACTTTTTGTCGAGTCAACAGAATTTCTAGAAAAATTTATGAAATTTTCCTTATCCTGTATAGCAGACCCCTCTAAAAAGGAAACATTCGTCATATTTTAAATTACATGAAAACATTGGTTGATTGTTATTACGTGTTTTTTATGTTTTCAATACACTACAGCATATCACAAATATTCATAGATTCATTTCATTTGTTCTTCTAGACACCTAAATACTTACTACCATTCCTCCTACCAATCAAATATGAGACTATTTTTCTTCCCGGATTTTCACAAACAAGTGTGAACTACTACTGTAAGGTAAAAACTAAGCAAAAAAAAAAAAAAGTAAAAGAAAATTGTAGTTGCATGTAAATTAAAACTCCCGTTCATTCGAATTGCTTGAGGAAGCACAAAATTCACATGGACCCACTGATGGGAATGGTAAATATTTACGAAAGCGGATGACGCCAAGTGCATCATAATTACAGCTGCCGGCAAATATTTACTTTCAAATTGAAACAAGATCAAAAAGAGGCAAAGTAGTCTTTTACAAGTAGCCGAACTTAGTTTAAAACACACAATATTTAAATAAGTCACGACTTTGAAAATACCTTAGAACGTAAAGGGCGGAAGGGATTTGAAACTTAAACAGTAGCAGAAATAAAAATATTGAAATTCTTGGAATTTGGTTCTCGTTGTATCTGTTTGAGAACGTAAATGCAAACAAAATTTATGGATTTCTTTCGGATTGAAACATGTTTTTTCTTTGGGGGGGATTTTGAGTTTTTTTTTTTTTTTTTTTTTTTTTTTTTTGCAAAATCAATTGGTATGTCTTGAGATGTTCAATATCCATTGTTTATTGTGAGAATTAATTCAGTAAACATTTGGCAAGAGCGAGGCGATTCAACCCAGTCGGATGACCAAATCAGTGAGGGCGGTCAGGAATGAACCTAGATGATGATTTGGTGTTGGACTAGTATACAAAATTAGGTGGTACGATACTATATTTTATGTACCTTAAACGATCCAATATAAATCATTTACTCAAAGAGTGCCATAACTCGTAAAATGCGTTTTTGACACCATATATAAAATAGAAGGTATATAAAGTTCGTCATTTCATTTGTAACTCATCGAAATAATAATTTATGACCTAACAAATATATATATTCTTGATGAGCGTAAAATTCTAAGACGATTTAGTCGTGTTCGTCCGTCCGTCTGTTGTAATCACGCTAGAGTCAAAACGAATTAATATAGGAAGCTTAAATTTTGCACAGATCAGTCTTCGAAATTTTGCAGAGATCAGTCTTCAAGTTCAAAGATGGTCTATAGCGGTCCACTATACCGTATAGCCTCCCCATATAACAGTGCACCCCGATATGCGTTATTTTCATGATTTTAACCACATCTATCAATGATATTGTCTGAAAATCCACACAAGGACTTCCTTCTGAGTACTTTATCCCCTGCAAGAGAATTGTCTATATAGGTCCAGGATATATTGATGGTTTAACGATATTTTTTCCGGGACTGTTTCATTTTTAAAAATGTCAACTTATATATTTTTTTTATTTTAAAATGAAACATAATTGAAATAACTGTGCAAATATATCTCCGAATTGTCTGATCAAAATATTATTTTTTAACAACGAAGTTGTTTTTAAAACGGAAAATTTTAAATTGAAAATTTAAAGATAACCAATTATTTCTCACTCTGTAAAGAGAGGCAAAAAAACACTTGCAATATTTTGTTATTTCAAAACACATACAATCACAAAAAATTTTTGAGGCTCTCTGCCTTTCCCTTTTATAATCGGTAATGTTTTACAAAACGAACCTGATTGTTTTGAAATATCATTGCTTATCACTGGGGTATGCCCCCATGAAGTTATTATTATTCCCTACTACAGAGAGGAACGTTTTTCAAAACGAAACTGACAGCATTGCAAGATTTGCTGATCGCTATCAATATCATGACTTCATCCCGCCGAAAAGATATGACTTTTGAGCAAAGAGAGTTCTTTAAATATTTAGTATTCTCAAGTCAATGAGTATTATACTCACATCTTGTTTTTCTCAAGATCATCATAACAAGTGTTGCAATTTTTGAACCTTCTTTCCACTTGTTGTTGTTGGAACTAATTTTGATGTGGTTGCAATGTTCAAATGATACTCCTGATGACAAAACTTAAAAATTTTCTGAGCCATAGTCCCTACATGCTTTGAACCTAGACCAATAAATCTGAAAACACTGATATTTTGGGACATGTTTTTCGAACGATATGACAATGTGATTTTCAACGAGAGGTCAAGGAGAATTATACCCACACCTTGTATTTCCCAAAAAAAAAACTTCATAACCTTCTTTACTCTTGTCGATGTTTGATATACTTTTATTGTTATTGCGATATGTTGAAATACATGATTTTAACCCATACCCATCATAAAGATAGGATCCCAATCATTGGCATTTTGAAGGCCTATAATGAGCTGTAATTTAAGGTTTCTAACCTTGCAAAATTGCTTTCTGCAGTCGAAAAACATCGCACACATTTTTTTTCAAATTTCTTTTATATTTTCTTTTGAAATGGATTTTTATACCCTCCACCGTGGTAATGGAGGATATATTAAGTTTTTCATTCCGTTTGTAACACCTCGAAATATACACTAAAGAGCCCACAAAGTATATATATTCTTGATCAACATAAAATTCTATGTCGATTTAGCTTCCGTCTACAGTCTAAGATAGAAAATTGTCTGTGAAGGTTCACGTCTTCTTATAGTCCCCATACAACGGCATCTCCTGATATTCGGTATTTTAATGTTTTTGGCGACATTATTCACCGGAATTATTTTAAATCTGGTATTTGAATTTCGTAATGAACACTACAGCCTATGACAAAAATTTATCTGTGCAGGTCCAAATCTTCGTATAGCCTCCATATAACGGTACCTCCCACTATTCAGCATTTGATGATTTTAGCGACATTATTCACCGGAATTGTTTCAAATTTGATATTGAAGTTCGTGCAGGTCCACGTTTTAGTATAGCTACATTATTCAAGTTTCGCATTTGAATATTGTAATGGCTTATGACAAAAGTTGCCTATGCAGGTCTACGTCGTCGTATAGACTCTAATACAACGGCTTCATTCTGTAGTTTTAAGATTTCAACAGAATTTTTAACGGTTTTTTTTTTTTTTTGAAAATTGCCAAATTCGTTCCAAATAGTGGAGAGTATTCACAGTCCGGCCGGTAAAAATCGACAACACTGCCAAAAACTGTGAACACCCTATTTTCTTAATTTCGAATTTAAAAATACTAAAAAATAAATTCCTTTTACCTTTTTTCCAGTTCTTGATGTTGAAAATGCTTTTGTTGTTGCTGTTGTTGCAATGTTCAATCGATACTCTTGATGTGATGGGGTTTCGCAAAATTCTTGTGCAATAATCCGTTTTTAAGAGGTTTTCAAAATTTGAGATGCTTTGACAATTTCAATATATATGTATACACTTGTATTGTTAAATATTTCATATATATTTTTTAATATAATATTTTATATTTTTAATACTTTTGTTCCATTTATTTATTTATTTTTTAAATTTAATTCACTTTAAATTTATATATTTTTTGTGAAGTTGATGGGTATTTTTTTATTTTATGTATATTATATATTTTCCATATAAGCATATATTGAGTTGAATTATAAAAATTGCACTTTTTTTTAGATTACATATATATTTTTTTGTTGTGGCCAATAAAATATTTAGTTGCACTAATATATATATTTTTTTGAATATTATTATTATTTTTTTTATTTTTATGTATAGATAAATATTTTGTATGGTAATTAATTTTAATTTGTAAATTTTTCAAATAATTTACAGTTTGTAGTTATTTATTTTCGTTTTTTGTTTTGGTTTCAATTTATCCAAGAAAAAATCCCGTTAGTTTAAGTTTCGTTTAGTTTTCGATCTGAAGATTTTTATCGCACAATTATTAATAATATTTTTATTTATTATCCACATTTTTTATCGGCTGTTTTAAATTTTCTCCACTTAATATTCCAACAATGTAACGATTATTCGCTTGTAATTCTTTTGTTTTTGTTTTGTTTCTTTTTTTTTTTTGGAAATTTTCTTTATTTTTGGGGAAATTTATGAACTTTGATTATTTTCTGATTATAAATGGGTTGGTTGGTTGTTTGGTTGTTAGAGAGATCCATGGGGTTACCAACAACAAATGAATGACAATCAAACAAAACAATGAATAATTTTCCAATCGACCGAATGACCGACGACCACCAACAAAGTGTTTTTACACTGTCCCCGAATGGCCAGGCAGGCAGTCCAGTCCAATGGTTGGTTGGCTTGTTGGTTAGTTGGGTGACATAGACAAACTGCTGCACTTTAGCCACAAATTTATTCATTAACAACAATCAAAACTGGATTTAAATGCAGCAAACACACACACAGGGGCAACAACAAGAAGAAAAATCTTCAAAACCGTTTCTTGGACGGACAGTTTGGGAATCGGGTTTGTAAAGAATTCGGAGTCATGACTGAGAATATCTTAGCTAAGCAAGTAACTTGTATGCACACACTAGGCTGTTGTTGTCTATTCTTTGTGGTTTGATAGCAACTTTGGGGCCCGATTTTAAAATTCCTTCAATGTATCATCATCAAGAACCTATCTTCATCATTATCATCATCGTCGTTGTCTTCACACACGAAAATTCATTCACTTTTGGCCTTTTCTCCACTTCACAGAACCCTGTATGGTGGCCCCACTATTCAGTTGGAGGGGTTCTCCACCAACGAATCGAACGAAAATCACTTTACAAAGAGCCAACATAGACCCAAAGCATTTCAATTTGACCGTTGTTTTATTTTCTAGCAATTTTTTCGTTTTTTTTCTTCTTTTCTGCTGCTTTTTTTCTCAAAAACTATGCTGTAGAATTCTTGTTTTATCGAAATATTTTCTCTGTTTGTATCTAAAATGGCGCACCAGCAATAAATCGTAAAACCCGTCCGGAAATTATTCGAAAACTTGTCATGTGAAAGGCAAAAAAACCGATGACACGCGTATGCCTGAAACGCTTCACATAATATCCAAGAGTAGACTGAATTTGAAGTTCCACACAAAATACATTGCAACAGTCAGCTGGGCCAGTGCTGATGGTGCGTACACAAGACACAGTCAGGCAGGCAGGCAGACAGCCACGCAACTCAAACACAAGTTGGAGTACCAACAAACAGCGGCCAACACCACCAAAGTAACCCTCACGAAAGAAACAAAACAAACAAACGGTAAACACATTACAGCCAACCATCGCACACAACATTACAATGCAACTCAAACATGTTCGTCCTCCACTCTCTCTCACCAAAAAACCTAAAAATCCCCAACATCCACAAAATAAACAAGCAGAAATGAAAAATCCGCACAATTCGTTACTTTAATGCCCCCATTCCAATGTGGGGAGCATTTTGTCTGATTCAAACATGTTGTATGTTATGTGCCTTCAAACTCACGACGATGTTGATGATTTCGGCAACTATAAAATATGGTTCATTATGTTATTGACTTTTCATTGGAGAGGGTGGCAAACAATTGCCTTTGGGGTCTTCGAGAATAGTGTATGGTCGTGGTGGTTGTTGTTGTTGGATGACGGAAGGGATTTTCCATTTCATTTTATGGAAATCACAATGGCTTGGTTGGTGTTTAATTGGAAATTAAAGTATTAAATTTAAATAAAATTTTGCGTGAAATTATTTCATACGAATTTATTTTGGATAACACAAATAGTGCAGAATTTGTTTTCACGGAAAGTTTAAGTGTCGAAGTAATTGTTACTTTTATAATTATACCCTCATTCATATGGCTACATAATGTGATGGCTATATAATTTGATTCGTCGTAAATGTACCTCATCGAAATAATGGATTTAGAACCTTGGTCTCTTTAGAAGAAATCCGCTTCAAGTTATATGGAGTCTATCTAGTGATGACCTTCCATCTCTCTGGCTGTTGCACACGAAGCGAGAATCTGATTTCGTCCAAACTTGGGATATCATAACATTATTATTATACTTAGATCGAGTAGTAGTAACTTATAAAGTCCGAAAATGTTTTCCAGCTTTCTTTAAAGATTGTACTTTAATACTTTAAGTAATACGATGTGATATGTTGGTATAATCTTTATGGACCGATAAAAGGTGTAAATAAACAAATGGTCTAATGTCGCAAACCAACTTCTACTATTACGTTTTTGGTATCAAAAAAATAAATTTTTTATACCCTCCACCATACAAAGTATGGAGGGTATATTAAGTTCGTCATTCCGTTTGGTACTCATTGAAATAATCATTTTAGACCCGACAAAGTATATATATTCTTGATCAGCGTAAAATTCTAAGACGTCTTTCCATTTGCAACTCATCGAAATTATAATGTTAGACCTAATAAACAATATTCGAAGTCAGCCCAAAATTTTAAGACGATTTAGACATGTCCATCTGTTTGTCTATTGTAATCACGCTAGAATTAAACGCTATATCGGTCAACGGTATCGTATAGCCCCCATATAACGGCACCCCCGATATTCTATATTTTGATGATTTTAGCCCTATTTTGCAATGGAATTGTCGGAAATCCTACACAAGAAGTTTCTTGTGAGTACTTTACCCTCTGAAAGGTCTACGATATCCCGATATTCGTATTTTCATGATTGTTGCAATATATTTTTTTTACATGGAATTGTGAGAAAATCAACACAAGTGGATTACGATATCATATATCCCCCTATAACCCCCCGATATTCGGTACTTTTGATGATTTTCGCGACATTATTTACCGGAATTATTTCAAATTTCGTATTTAAAGTTCGTAATAGGTACAACAGCCTATGACAAACAACCACGTCTGCAGGTCCACGTCTTCGTATAGCTCCCATATAAAAATACCACCCAATATTCGATATTTTGATGATTTTAGCTATATTCTTTATCGGAATTAATTCAGATTTCGTATTTGACGTTCATAATGAGTAGTACAACCTATGACAGAAAATTGTCTATACAGGCCCACGTCTTCGTATAGCCCACATATAAATTTCCCCCCGATTTCTCTGTATTTTGATGATATTAGCGACATTATTGACTGGATTTGCTTGAAATTTCGTATTTGAAGTTCGGAATCGGTACTTTGGCAGAAAATTATGTACTCATGCGGTATTCGTATAACGGATTCACTTAAACGTTATTTTTCGACGATTTTTTTAAAGTTTTCTCCAAATTTTGGATGGCATTAAAAGTTCGGTCCCGCCAGCTGGTTTTTTACTTGTTTGTTTTTCAAAAGTTTTAAATTTTATTTGGGTAGAGTTCGAAAGAAATTAAATTTGCCATAATAATGTGTAATACTCCTAAGATAATGGGTATTGAACAGGGGCCGAATGAGGTACCAAACAAGTCCTAGAGACGACTTGTACTGTGAGGTCAAAGTCACTGTTTTTAGTGTTTGGATTTTTCTTAAAGGCATTAGTTTTTATGAATATTTTTGGGGATTTCTGACATTTTATTTGTAAAGGTACACGCTACTCTTTGTGCAATTTCATGCCTTTACCCTTAAAGATGTTGGTTGTAATTTTTTTGCCCCAGTCTCACTTTTGTATACCCTCTGCCATAGTATGGAGGGGTATATTATGTTTGCCATTCCGTTTGTATCACCGGGAAATAATCATTTTAGATCCCACAAAGTATATATATCAGTACATAATTCTCTGTTGATCTAGCGGACATGGATAGATCCGATAAAATTTTACTGAAATGCAGGATGTATGATATTAGGAATATGTAGACCTACATTTTGATATTGCGCCCATATAACTGTAGCGACAGATTTAATGTATTTTGGGTGTTTCAGTCACAATTTTAAACCAAATTTGCTGTAAATTGGCAGCATGTGTTACCATAGAAACATCCTTACATAGAACTGTAAACATAGGTCAAGGTTTTTGTATAGTCCCCATAAATCTGAACCCCCATATTTGGTATTTTGTACAAAGTACAGTTCGCATTAATTGCCCTATCCAGATGAAATTTTGCACAAATCATTCGTTTGGTCCAAGGACGAACCCTACTGAAATTGGAGATACGCGGTAAAAATTTAGATATAGCTCCCATATACAACTTCGTCCGATTTGCCTTTTATTGTGCACCAAACTTATAATATCAGCCCGAATAGTATGAAATTTTGCACATACAACCAAATTAGGCCTGAAAATAAGTATGCCAAATTTGATTGAAATCGGTTCAGATATAGCTATAGCTCCCATATATATTATTCATCCGATTTGTTATTTTTGTCCTCCGCAGCCGTAATATGCACTCTGTAACAACAATATTTGGGAAAATCTATCAAATACAGCTTAGAAATACGTTTGCTTAATTTTATCGAGATCGGTTCAGATTTGGATATAGCTCCCATATATAACTTCGTCCGATTTGCCTTTAATTGTGCACCAAGCGTGTAATATTTGTCCAAAATGGGATGGAATTGGACACTTAATAGAGTCTAGAAGCCAGTATGTCAAATTTGGTGAAGATCGGTTCAGATATAGCTATAGCTCCCATATATACTGTTCATCCGATTTGTTATATTTGTTAGCCATGGCCGTAATATGCACTCCGTAACAACGATATTCAGGGAAATATATCAAATGCAGCTCAGAAATATCTTTGCCAAATTTTATCGAGATCGGTTCCGATTTGGATATACCTCCCATATATATCTTTATCCGACTTTAAATTAATTGTGTACCAAATGAGCAATACAAGTCCGAATTTAAAAGATACAAATGCTTCGGCATATCTAGTCCTTTGAACTCTAAATCTTAATTATAATCATAGCGTGTATGATTGAATTCTTCTATAAAAACTTTTAATTGTTATGTGGAGCTCTACTAAATTAGCAAAGTGGTGTAGGGTATCATAAAGTCGGCCCCGCCCGACTTTAAGGCTTTATTTACTGGTTTTATATTCTGTGAGTTCCTTCCAAACAATGGATGATATTAAAGCTTCATTCCGGCTGAACTTAATTAGCGACGATGTATTTTTACAGGCTTTGATACAATACCCTAATAAAGGGTTTTTAGGACAACTGATTTCACAATAATTATGTTTTCCCGAAATCTGAAACTAAAAATAAGAAATAATTTTGTGTTCTTTTATGTATATATACAAAACAGCTCGTATTGGCAATTTTCTGGCGGTTCCTCAATCATTTTTTTCATGTTAATGCCCCTTACTCTTCTCTCGAATATACTTTGCGCAAGTAAAATTTCCTAATATATATCTGGACTTACGTATTTTGAACATGAGAGTATCGCCGCTGAACGCTTATATTCCCAAGTAATCATTTATGTCATTTGCTATGGGATTATTCAATAACCTGCATATTCGCTTTAAAAAAATAAATATGGATAAAAATTTCATAGAGCCTAAAATAAAATCCTGCAATATGGATTCTTTGGAAATGCGTTTTGATGTGGGCTCCAACACATAAAAATTTGAAACTAAGGAATTGCTGCCACAGCACTTTAAAAATATATACTGTTCTTAACGGAGCTATGTCGGAGCTGTCTTCTACCAATTAGCAATCAAATATACAGATTATGATCAACTCGGTGGCAAAGAATTCTGCACATTGTATTAAAAACAATGATTTTTGGTCAGGAGGTCTTTAAAATATTTTCTTTAAAAATCAAGAGTTTTGTTCTGGAAGATATTTTTTTGTAAAATCTTGGATTTTTTGTCGAAGCAAGAGGCATGCTTAGAAAACATCAGATTTTCTTAATTCTCTTAATTAATTAATTAACGATATTGCCGTTTTAGCCTTACCTGCCCTGATTTTTATACTTTTAAGCTAAATTATGTCGTATTTGTTAAAACTCCATCTTATTTAGATATATATTGCGCATTTTTTACACAATATACATGAAATCGGATGAAGATATGTATGAGTTATATCCAAATAAACTCCGATTATCATCACTTTCAGATTTGTTGAAAAAGATATTTCAATCGAATAATAATTTGAATCTGTATTTTACATTTAAAAATAAATGGACACATGGATGGAGGCACATG